ATTCGCATTGTTTTTATTGCTTACGAAATTCTGTTTATTGGAATTGTTTCATGCATAACTGTACAAAAAGTACTACGATCGATCGGGCGTATAACTGTACTGCTTATGATACTTTATTGTGAGCTAATGAAGTCAAACTGGAAAATACCAGGCTTGCTGGTTCGATCATGCTTTCTTGCACTAAGCATGAAGCAATCAGGTTGTCAACTGTATAAATGGTTGCTGCTTTACACTTACCTTGTGCGCTAACTAGCGTAAATCATCCAAATTTCGCATAAAGGCAAATCAAGAGTTTCTGTTTAACTGCTGTTCTTTGCTATGACCTAGCTATTCAGTAAGCAACTTTACCGCTGAAATTTTTGTGTTCCCCTGCGTGAGTACCGCGCATATATAGGGGCTGAATTTGAAAACTTTAAGTTGCACTTGGTCCGGGGACGTTCCTTTAAAATTTGTCGAGTTGAAATATATGGGCAGACACACACACACACACACACACACCCACACACACATGTACACGCATTCACAAGACATACATACACCATAGATCGTACTTTTGCATCTGCGTGAATGTAGAAACGCATGAAAAAACCTCCTCCAGTCTTGCCTTCAGCGAAAGGCGGAGGCATGCAAGGAAGCGGACAACCACTTACTGAAAAGGCTGCGATGGCTTTCTCTACGAGGGTTGCTAAGCCACTTCGTCACGCATGCTGAATGTTATCAATATTAAAGATGCGGAATTTTCACTTGTGTAGTTGGCAACGTTTGGCGTTGCAAGAGTAGTACGACTCTGAGATGCTTGCTCGCTAATAAAGTCATTGCTAAGCATCACTCGTTTAATATCTGGTTTCAGTAGATCTGTCACGCAAGGTATCTTATGTTTTTGCTGAAGTATTTTCGAGCCGTCTGTTGCTCTGTTCGTGTCACGCCGTTACCCATCGGTATTCGACTATAATATTTATAGCTGACTAAAACCAAAACAGAACATATGCACTTCGTAAGTATGTCCAATGAAGAGACCGGGATCGGTTGTTTAAC